GATATATTTTCTTAAGAGTGTCTGCACACATTACAGTTGCCTGCATTGCCCATCATTACATGCGCTCCATTGAATGAGTGTAAATATTTGATTAAGTCACATGCGCTCACAAGATAAAAACCTTTATTTTTCTCGGAAGGAATTGAAAATGTTACATTTTTAAAGAGAAAGTAGAATACATTTCATAACAAAGACTTCTTTGATAATGTCTACTACTTGTCAATATGATCAAGGACAATGTATGTGTGAAATTTTGACCGAAGAAACTTTGCATCTATGATGAACTGAGTTGATGATAGGCAACATGTATACTTCCAACTCCTCAATACCACTTAACTTTCACATATACCTCATAAATAAAAATACTTTTAATTCTCAATTTTTTGTATCAAGTAATATGATAAATCCAATAGAAAATATATTATAGAATAAATGAAAATTATCAATTTTTAAAATCTCTATTTTTGTCAATGTTTCAAAATCTGTGAAAGTAATCATTTTGTAATTAATTTATATCAAAAGATTTATATTACTCAAATAAGAAATAGGTATAATACCTAAAAACTTTAAGTTTATCTGATATAAAATGAGCTCATCTAATTATATCAAATAAGATGAATATTTTTATAATAAATTTGAAATGTATTAAAAACATGTAAATAATATTAATCAACTGTAAATTTTCTTATATGTGCAAAAAAATACAATTGAAAGTTACAAATTAGAAAATGATAACTATGATAAGTTCTCTCAAGAATCTACAAGTTGAATCATTTTCATTTTAATAAAAATGATTCAGCTTGATGGAAATTTCTTTCTATGGAATTTTATTTAAAACAGATTACAAGGAATATGTTTTTACTTTTAATGATATTTTTATATAATGTATATTGTTCAAATCAAATTGAAAAGTAATGATCATTTATAAAAACTATCATAGGATTATGAAAATACATCAATTTTATCATTATTAAAAATTTGATAAATATATCAAATAAAACTAAAAATATATATCATCAAAAAATGTTCACACCACATATGTTAGTATTGACTCAAGTTTCAATTACAATCTTGTAAACTTAATTCGCGTTAGAGTATAGAGATACTTAATTTACTATTTTGTATAAATAGGAGAGCAATGGCTCACATTAAACACTTTGTAGTTTCTTTCGGTACAAACCTCACTGTAACCTCAAACGTGATAGAGAATGGCCATCCTCTAATTTACTTGTCGGCATTGTGTACGCTTGTTTTTTTTTTCCCTTTTTTCTTATTCTTGTTACAGAAAATTATTTATATAAATAAAATTATGCACTCAACTCTAAAAAGAAATAATTTTGATTCAAAAATTGATGAAAATTAAGAAATAAAATTCAATTTGAATTCATATAATACTAACATATAATACTAATTATAATACTAAATATAATACAGATAATACTAACTGAAAAACTAATTCAGTGTAACTTATTTCTATTCAAAGAAAATTCAAAATATGTAAAAAAAATGAAGGGTTTCATTTTAATATATGCATGTTAGTTATTATCTAAATTTAGATTAAGATTATTAAATCAAATTTTATGTATCAAACATCAATAAAAAATATTGGTAAAATAATAAAAAATCTGATTTATTGATTTTCATATGTAATGAATGTGAACTAGCATCTTAATCACATTATTCACATTCCATTATATTTAAAACTCTATCTTCAATTTTTAAAAATAAAATAAAATAGCCTTACATTGTATATTCAAATTCTTGTTTTAAAAAATTTTCTTAATTATATATATATATATTTATTTATTTATTTATATGAAAACCATAATTTAGTTATTTTAAAATACCGCATATAAAGCAAGTTTTTGTTCAAAAATCTCAATAAAATCATAGAAGAATATTTTTAACAATTCTTATTTTTAGAAATTTAGTTTTTATACAGAATATGTATTACCATCTGATTATAAATTTTTATTTATAAATATTTAGAAAAAATGTTCTAGTGAGTGCTTTTTACATGTATTTTATTTACAATGTTACAATAGATTTTCGTAAGATTTTATTTTTATGATATTCATATTAAAATTAATGTGATGAAATCCTAATTTTTTTATACAGATTACATATCCAGCCACTAAACTTGTATTTTTAAAAATATTAAACATGTTGAAAATTTTGCATATATATTTAATGGACTGAGGATCTTTAATATTTGAAATTGCAAGTATGTAAGTTTAATATAATAAATAGTATACAAATCAATTCAAAGTGTGTTACAATGAAATCCTTGAATTAAACACTCCCAAGATAATCTAAAGGTTTATGGCCCGTAAACCTTTAGATTCCTTCCTGGGGCTTGTTCCATAATTGTAAAGAGGCCCGGATGGTACCGCCGTGTAGGCATGCCACCCGGCGAGAGTGATCGCCCAGGGGTCCAACTAAGTCATCCTCGGACACCGCGGTGTGAAAAAGCTAAACTGCAGGTCTAAACAAGGTTCATAAGTTAAAGGCTAGAAGAATAAAAGTTCAGCAGACAGACGAACATTCATTCTTGCACGGTGTATAAAAGTGGTCGATAACCTTCCGCAGAAAAGAACAGTTGGTACGACCAAAGTTAGTTGGCTCCGATGGTACAAAGGACACGTTTGCGGGGTGAGGTGATGTATGGAATCATGGATCTAACCTTCCCGTCGCCGGCTTGTGCGAGAACGGACTGTAACTTACAAACAAATCGTCTTACCAGTCGTCTCTGGACCGGTGTCAGAAGAAGAAGGGTAGGACGCAAGAGGTGTAAGAAGTCGCCGGATCTGTCCACTCTTCTCGCCGGGGGCGTTCGACGCATGCCACTGCGCTGAGGAATTTGGCCCTCGTGGTAGCTCGAGTTCCTCAGAGACCTGTTCCCACAAGCTTGCCGAGTGCAGACGACGGCGGCGACGAGCCACGCTGACCTGAGTTCCTTACTTTAGCTCCTTCTGGTTAGTTCCTTACTCGCAGGAGCCCGCACCGCATGGCCCTGCCCTGCCCTGCCCGCGAAGAAAAGTGGCTTTGTCCTCATGTGGGCGGGCATCGCTCTGATCATTAGCAGGGTGTATCAGAATCCGAATAACGGAGATTCCTGTCCGTCTCGGACGAGGTCGCACAAGGGGGACGGGATTCGCGAAGGAACGGAGGGAAGTGTGCGTCGCGCTAGATCCACCGTGCAGCGGCATGGCAACGCGGGTCGATTGGCAACCACGTATCGGGTGTCCCACGGTTTGCGGTAGAAGTTCCCTCTGCGGCATCTTCAGACTCGTCTCCACGGAAAGTTGGGACGGGAGACGTGCATTTATGGCGTGACTGGCATTTTCCGACACAGTCTGCGGTGGAATGTGCTCTCGGATGAAGCTGCCGATCTTTGACCGAGGAGCTCGGCCTCGGATCTGGGAGACCCGGCGGACGTTACACCGAGGAGACCCGAAACGTTCGAGAAACTCGGGTTTAAATTTGAACCAACGCGTGTAAGCTCATGATCTTTTTGTTGAGGATGCGCCGGACCGTGATCGTCATCATGGTCCACGCTCTGTAGCGTAGCTCTAGGATCCGATCCCTCCCTTCTAGCACCACCTGCTTCTGCGTCCCATAATTCCCAATCGCATCCCCTGCCCGTCTGTCCTCCAAATCTCCAGCATCGGCGCTATAATTTCCATCATTTGCCACTTTTATGGGTTTTATTTGGCTTTACTTTTTTCGCTGGCGTTGTGTTCTATCGCCTGACTGGATCCGCGAACAATGGAAAAGTCCCCATCGGGTATTCAAGGCAAGAGGGAACAATTAAATCAACGGCATGCAATGTATGCAGCAGACTCTTCCGAGACAGATGAAAATTCGCGAGAAATTCCTGTGTTCCGGCCTGGCCTCCCGGCTCCACCTGACATTTGTAAAAGCCTCACTATCGTGTGCTTCTTGCGCGATGACAACGAGAATAATCCCGTATCCGCGCATTGTTTTACAATTCTAATTTCGATCATAAGAAAATAATGCCTTATTGTCATCAAAGCATCTCCGGATGATTTGAATATCAAAGTGTTGGAGCAGTCCTTCAAGGACCTCCATCCGGCGAACAAACAAGTTGCCGGAGCTCCTTGCCGACGAGGGACCTTTTTCGATTGTCGGGCGGCGTCCTCTCGTCTACGGACGGCCTTCCCATCAGCGGGACGTAGTGCCCCAGGTAGACGAGAATGTTGCGTGGCAGTCGGTTCCTCGTAAGTTCTTATACCGAGACTGCATCGCCCGGCAAGAAATTCTCACTCGATTGTCATTGTACGAAGAATATATCACAGGCAAGGCCAAACTTTACAGTGACAAAACTGCTTAGCCGGTGTGATGTGCGAGGGGACCGAGGAGAGCAAGGATGGATTTTGAATCCCGGGGAACTCGTGGTTAGATGGATGGCATCAAGAACGGGTAAAGCCGACGTTGACTGGGAAGGCCGTAGAATCCACCAACGTGATGACATAGTGGAGAGCCGAGAACGAGACCGACCTCCGCGAGATTTGGCGGAATAATTGGCGGCCGGCTCCACTTAGAAGCTGTCAAAGACGCGTCCCACCTAAAGCCAGCTCCGCAGCCTGCAAGAGGGCTTCGGGTGGAGGGCGAGAGGGCGGCATTAGTCGCCTGGAGAAGGAGAAAGTGGAAAGTTCGAGAGCCTGCTCCAGGCGCCTTTGGCTGGCGGGGCAGCCGCCGCCACTCCGGGTTCCTCCACGCTGCCACCAAGAAGTCCGAGCTCCCGCCTGCGGTGCTATTTTCGGGGGGTCCGGACCGCTGAGGTGACCGGTGGTCGCATGAACCGCAGGGCGCGCTATTAAAAGTCGCGGGAACGTGAGCGGCGACGGAGAAGAGCCGGTCCAGACTGGTAGGCGGCCGGTCTTTCCCATTGCAGCAAGCTGCACCGCGGGAGAGCAAGGCGCTCGCTGCCTATATTTCACCGAAACTTCCAATCGCTGGGAATAGCAACGGAGCGGCACCGTCCGGTGGGTCTCGATTATAACTGTTTCTTGTCTCGGTCTCAGCCCGACCGTCTGCTCGCATTCGCCTCCGTTCCAGCCCTTCTCCATTTAAGCCGCTGCTGCGCTTCTGGTTCTGCTTCTGGACTTGTGGTGTTCACGACTGCGCTTTACGTGATTCGACGCAGAGCATGACCTCGGCGGAGTTCGGGTGCTCGACGATTCTTGCTTTTTGGCAGTGGACGTGAATTTTGTTGGGAGCTTTATCGCACTCGCACGCTGCGGGTTTCCGGCATTCGGGTGCCCGCAGATCTGATAGGAGGCGTGGTGGCTTTAGCGAGAGCAAGAGGAAAAGTGAGGCACGAGACGGCGGGGCATCTGCGACTGAGCCAGTAGCTCGCGAGCCCATTTGGATTTCGGTGCTGGTCTGCTGCTTGAAGCTTTTTCTTCTGCTTGCCCGTGGTGTCTACGGTTACGTGTTTTAACTTTACGACTCCCTGAGGCTTGGACTCATATAATTCGCGCGAGCGTTCTCAGGATTTCAAAACGGTCTTGCATTCGGAAAGCGCTCCTCGAGGATCACGGATATAGAGGCTGCTAGAGGATAATATCTCCTCCGAGACTGGGAAGTTTCGCATCGAGGGTCCGAAAAGCACAGCCATCTTGGATTGGACTTGACTCATACTGAGCTTGACCTGGACTGGATAGAAGAAGACACGGATTGTGGTGTTCGGAGAACATTCTTCGCTTCGAAGTGTGTCATCGTCCAGAAATCTTGTTATTACTTTTTTAGCGTGTAAAGGTTTTGAGAATCTTTACCGGCCTTAAATATCCAGACGTATAAGTGAGACAATCACTGAAGCAACGAGGATTTCTTCTGCGCGATTCAGTAGACAGGTGAATATGGTCATTCCAACCTCTGTTCTTAGAAGTTGAACCTGTTGCCTCTTGTCTACTGTCCCTTTTATACCCTTCTTGACCCAACAAAAATTCTGGTCGAGTCCAGTAGTGACTCATCGGTTAGACGACAACATGCAAATAGAAATCCGCGACTCTCCCACGAACTTCATTGGACAGGTGGCAGTTTCTTGGTATTGTAGAGTTGTACTACACGTCTTACACTACAGCAGCTCTCCTTGCTTCTGCTATTTACAACGAGAGAATTTGCTTGCAGGTGGGATAGGATCATGGACGAAGAGACCTCAGCACTTCTTCCTGGACGCGTTTCCAGAGGTATCGATAGGGATTTTGTCGAAGACTTTGAAATCGTGTGTAAGAGGGCTGCCTGTGCCGTCACCATCCTCACGGTTTGTCTGGCGTTCATCAGTACAATATCATTTGTGATTTACATCCAACCTGAAGCGCCGATCGTTAACTTTCAGGTATTTTGTCGATTCACAGTTTTTTACTTGCTCTGCAATTCAGTTGACAGAATTTGCGTCGTCTTGAATCTATGCAATTTTCCACCTGATTATTATCTAGCAGGATACATCTCGCTGATTGAGGGTAATATATACTGGGTTTTGAATTCAGCCTATAAAACTGGTCTTTCGCAACTTTTTCTAAATATGTTAATGTCTGTGGATTTGTTCCAGGGGTTAGAGGTCAGAGAATTTTCCGTCTCAAACATGATTGACCGAACAGGAGTTCCAACATATGGCGTTCTTGCGGATGCGACGATGAAAGTGGCCTTTTTCAATCCGTCGATATTCTATGAGACAACTGTGAAAGAAGTCATTGGCTTGCTGTCGTTTGAGCGATTAATCGCCTACGGCGAGGTGAGAATCGAAAGCTTTCAAAGCCCGTTCGAATTTGGATTTTCTGTTTCGAGTAGATCGAAGTCTTACCAATTATTGGCACCTTTGGATGGGTCGGCGACTGCTGAGCTCAATTAACGAGGATTCGGGTTATGTTTTTAAAACTCTTGTGTATGATTCCTATCTCAGGGAGAGAAGTTCGTCCAGCCGAGGTTGTCTGGCCGCGCAATCAACATCGACGTTGCATCCTTTATGAATCAGGGTCCCATGGTGCCTCTTTATGGCGCTGCTCCAGCACTTCTAGAACAGATAAGCGAGAGGGGAAGCGTAAACTTGGAACTTGAATTGGCAGTTACGTCCGAATTTTCCATGTTTGATGGAATTGTTCGCAAGGAGTTCAACACCAACGTTAAATGCGATATAGTGTTTGCTCCTGGAGACGCTAGCCACATCCCTGGACACTCAGAAGGAGTAATATTGAGTTCCGTTTGCTCAGTTGTTTAGTGATCCGTCGAAAAGTCGGGTACAGTCATGATCATGTACAAATTTCATCGGAACAGTTTTGTAGATGTACACAACGAAGTAGATTTCTTGTAGTTTAGATGTAGAATTTTGCAGACGCGTCGGCTCGCATTGACCGACGTTGTTATACACGCTATAGTTACTTTCAAGTTTGTACACGATGGCGTTTCCAGCTCGAGACAATTAGACCCTCAATATCTCCCTGTACACAAAGTCAAGACCGAAATGCCTCCATCTCCTAAACGTAGAGTACAGAACTAACACATTTCATATACTTTTGAGTATCAGTTGGAGCCAGGTGAATAATCTGTCATACCCATCACTGCCTCTGTTTTGATGCGGAAAGATTTAGACTTACTAGCTGACATTCGATCAATCATAAATACTGTACAGTGAAATTCATCAGTCGCTGTGCGACATCTAATTTGAAATTTTCAATATTTTCTTATCACTTTCATCGTTTCGAAGCGCAAGACAGATATAATTTCAGCCATCCCATGCATATCGATCTTGGATGGTGCTCAGAATATTGTCAGACCAGAATGTGGATTGTGTCACACACTTGGAATAATAATTGATGCAAATTAAGAATCAAACTCTTCCCATTTTCTCAGGGTTTGCAAGTTGCAGACTGACTGGGTGCTCTGCGACGTGTGGGTATTTCGAATCGAGACAGTCGCCAATTATCTCAGGCTGTGCAACTTGCAGACCGAACAACAACAATTCTGAGGCGAATGGGTGTTTCGAATTTTGGAAATTGGATAAAGTGTCGCCAGATGTCTGAAGAATGAAGTAGGTGTGATCCACAACAACCGGTTAGTGCCGGGAACTTGCACATACGACGGTGACTGCATATATGTAGAAATTGCTGGTTTAGAGAGCACCGATATTTGGATAATGTTGTCTTGTAAACGAGCCGTCTCGTTTCGTCCTACTAGCGGTATCGCTCCAAGTGTCGCACAGCTCCAAGGATGTGTCCGGGGTCCAACTTTCCAGCGGCTCGGGAGCAACACGTGTGCACGCTTCGTCGAGCGGGAGCAACTGGGAGAGGATGCATCTGACGTGGAAGTATGGGGAAAAGTAAACTAGTGGTTCGAGAGAGTGGGCATTTCCAAGAACGCTCAAAATTTGGATAAGGAGCTCGATTCGATGCCCCTCTGGCCCTAAAAATCTCCTTTTCCACGACGGCGGACCACAGTGCCCATCTTGTTGTCTCTTGGGCAACGAAAAGATCGACCCCAGCGCTCCCCAATTTGCACCTGCACGCTCGGGCAGTCGAGTTTGAGTGTTCCAACCACCGACGGACATATGCTGAGGCAAGAGGTCTATCCGCCTTTGGGAAGCGGCCGTGGCAGGGCGCTTTCGGGGTCCCGTATGAATGAGAAGGAAGGACCGCGAGCGTGGCAGGGCCCTGGGAAAAAAGCTTTGCATCGTTCTTTTTAGATGCAGACATTCTTCTTCTCCATGTATGGCGAGCTTGGTTTGCTGCTCGACTCTTGTTTGTTTCCAGCAGTGGACAAAGTGTACATCGTGTACTCGCAGATGCCGGTTGGTGTCGTCCAGGTTCCACTTTTCGACAAACAGTCGGCAAACGATTTGGAATTAGGGGATCTTCGATCGAGTGGGAGTGCACTGCACGGTCATATGTCACGAAAGCAACGTCGCTACTCCACTCCACTCGTGGCATGTTCAGGTGCTTTTGTTTGTAGCTTCCAGCCTCATGCATACTCACAGTGGACTTACTGACTGTCCTGTCAATGCTTTGACAACGGCGGTCAAGCAACGAATTCTTTGTATGCAACTTGTCGATCCGAGACGCAGTCGTAAAGATCGCTGAAAGCACTGTAATGCTGTCTAGCATCTGTTGACGAAGGTTAGAGATAGAACCCTTTCGAGGAAGTCTAGGTCGGTTCACCTTTGTTCCCTTATTCTTGGTGCTCGATGAAACGTCTCAGACAGAAGTTCCCTACTTCCAGTCCGCATCGTCAATTGAGTTCTTGCACAACCATTAAAAGTAGTGCAGATGAGTAAGTAGGCGCTCGGTGGTCGTACTCTGTCTAGATATCAGCCGAAACGAGCAACGAGTAGAGGCGAAATCTCTGATGGATTTCTGCACCGGACGGTTTCACAGGCGCGAACGAGAGGGATTGAGATTTCTTTCCCTGAGCAGCGCTCGAAATATATTTTCATTTATCTCACCAGTCAAGCTCATGGTGCCACATATAGACGAGCAAAGTAAAGAGTGTCAGCATAATTACAGATTGACTCAGGTAGAGAAACACATGTGTCTATGTACTTCTTAGCATCACACGAGGACGAGCATCTATGAAGGAGCGAGGGTTAGTGGTGGAGCGTGAGTATTGCAGGAGTCTCGGAATCCGAGCGTAAGACGGAACTCCGGAGCAACATCAATGCGACATCATGGACCATGAATACAGTACCAAATGGTCACTGTAACATGTTGAGCCGGAATTGGCTACACATACATATCGTGAGCTCCTACATGTAGGCGTGAAGAGCGACGTCCGCACATCTCAATTGTGGCAGGGCAAGAAAGGAATCTCTAAATTACCGTAAGTTTGTTCAGGAGACAATGTCTGTGTGTAGGGAAAAAGAAGGATATCTCCCGCACAACAGAAAGACTGAACCACTCCATCGGGGAGAGGGTTCTCCGAGGGGGAAAAATCTCCTTGCTTCTGTCCACTACCACATTCCATCCCAGTGAGCAGGACTCATAAACACCTTCCGTTCATTACTTGCCGATAACATAACCATTATATAGTTCACGAAGAAACAACAGTGTAAGTTTCCAGTGCCCAGGGCCCAGGGCCCCAGGCTAGACCAGACCAGCATGTCCAGAAACCACAAGTACCGTCAATCACTTATGGGCGCTCCAGGCTGTGGACTTGGACACCAACGATGTTACAGCTTCCAGTCCAGCCGGCGAGAGAGTCTTCTTTCAAAACCAAGAGCCATCGCCGAGAAGATTTTATCCATCTACATCCTAGGAGTTTTCGCCTCGTGTTGTCTTCCAATTTTTACAAGAGGAGCAAGGATTTGATTTCGCAGACGACGCAATGGTCGAGTCCATCCATCGGTCTAAGGCAACTTGCGACGCTTGTGGCTCGCAGTCCATCACACGCGTTCACAACATGTGCAATCCATCTTCAAGAAGAGGAGAAAGAAGCAATTTTCTTGGCAGAATTGTGAATTCAGTGGACCAACAGACAAGTAAACGCCTTGGACCGACTGCCGTAATATCACGGACAACGTCGTGCCTCTTTCAGATTCATTTCGAGCTCCGAACATGGTTCATCGAGACTACTCATTTCGATGGCCGAGGAAGAAACTGTAGGAGCAATGGGGCAAAGAAGAGAATTAAATGACGTGTTCTTAGTCCACGTGACCTCGTCCATGTCCATGATGATCATGTAAGCAAGCGCGGAACAACGAGTTTTGATAAATTTAGGCTTGTTCTGCTCGCACTCTGTCGCGCAGGTGCAGGCGACGTTACAGTGCGTTGACGTGAGTCCAGGCCGGAGAAGTCTGTGGAGGTGAGACCGGGCAACCGTTGCGAAGCCAGGAGAAAGGGTCAAGCGATGGCTTGAAGCTGTCAACGCGCACCAAACTGCGTCGTAGTTCGTTGGGGACCCTGACCCTGACCCGACCTGACCCGACCTGAGGCGCACTATACAATCCGGGATCGAGCGAGGGCTTGTTCTCGGTCTGTGTGCACGGTCCTGTATCTGGAGCGTGCGGAGGCGGAGGGCATGCGCCATATCAGTCAATCAAGCGCGCGTCAGCTCGGCGTAATCTGTTCCTCCAGCACCAAATTGCTGTCTCCTGCCGTCTTTGCCATCTTCAAGTCTCTGATCAAGGGCTGGCCAAAGTAGGCCCTCGTCATCCTCCTGCTGCTCCTGACTCTGCGCAAGCTCACAGTGTGCAGGAGTTCCAAGACAAAGGGACCGATGGCTTGCGGTTGGAAGCATCGCATGACCAGATCTCCGTCTCAACATCACAATTGAATCTCCCTGCCTCCTTCCCTGCCTCCCTCTCTCTGGCCCCGACCGACTCGTTCCTTCCCTCTGCCGTCTCCGAAAGACCAACGTCGTGCTTGCAGCTTAGATCTACGCGGTAGCTTCCTCGGTCGCTTCTCCTTCCTTTGAGTGGGTTTGTGCCCTTCGCTGCTCGAATCCAGCTTCGCGTTTCTTTTAAGACTCAGAATTCAGCTTTCTCAGGGAGGAAGTGGAGAGTTGGTCGTGGCGTGGTGGAGCGGCGTACGCACGGGACAGATCCATCCATAGTTCGTTGTCGAGACCGCTCCTGCCGAGCCGAGCTGATCGGATCGGATTCGAGCGACCAGAAGTCGAATCATTTTCGTTGCGGGGAGTGACAGAAGCTCTTCGCGATGGCGAACGCGTCTTCGGGAATGAGTGCCAGCGACGAGTGCAAGCTCAAGTTCATGGAGCTGAAGAGGAAGAAAACGCACCGTTTCATCATCTTCAAAATCGACGAGAAATTGCAACAGATCGTCGTGGAGAAGGCCGGGGGGCCCGACGAGAGCTACGAGGCTTTCGCATCCAGCCTGCCCGAGAAGGACTGCCGATACGGCGTCTATGACTTCGACTTCGTCACGGAGGACAACTGCCAGAAGAGCAAGATCTTCTTCATCGCCTGGTCCCCCGACACGTCGCGAGTCAAGGCCAAAATGCTGTACGCCAGCTCCAAGGACAGGTTCAGGCGGGAGCTCGACGGCGTGCACTACGAGCTGCAGGCCACCGACCCCACGGAAATGGACCTCCAGGTTATCAAGGAGCGCGTGAACTAATCCCGATCGGCCTGGGGCTCTTCTCCTCGTCGCGGATCCGCCTTGTTTTCTTTGAATTTGTACCCATACATGTGAATCGTAGATTACGCTTTCCCCGTGGATCCGAGCGGCGGCGTCGTCAGCCGGATCCCCTGTTCAGGACTTCTACCACATCAGTCTCAGCTCCAGTGTACGAGCATCTTGATGAACCCAGCCCCCGCGCTCAGGCCTGCACGCACGGCGGACGCCGGCTCGAGCCGCATTCGGCCTCGCGCCGGCTCAGATAGATTGGCGCCATTCATTTTGTAGAGCCGTTTCTTTGTCCCGCGGCCTCCCGGGAGTCCCTGCGGACGTTCCCAATTCTTTCATTCCAGTCAGTAATGCAGCCCATTAACAGACACCTCTTGTCGTTGCGTTGCGGATCACGTCTCCAGGCTCAGCTTATGTATTTCAGGACTTCTTTCACGGATCGATCGATTGATGATGACCTTGTCTCCTTTGCAGTTTCTGTAAATCTGCGTCCTCCCTCTTTTGTATGTGCGTGTATGGGCCACACTCGCTCCAACGTTGTCACTCCCCATGTGCAGCTGACAGTGATGTAATTGACGCATACTCGAGTGCAGTGCTCGACATTCTCCATCTCGGTCTAGATGTGCGATAGATTCTATGCGTGGTCGTTTCGGCAGTTTCGCCGGGTTCAATCTTTCATCCGTCTTGTCGTGTTCAGAGCGATGTGCTCAAATTCGTAACTCGTTTCGTTTAGTCGTCAGGGCTTCGACAGAAGGCCTACTTTGGGTTCGAGTCTTCTGCATACTGTTTTCGTTCATATGACGCCGGAGTTGTGAACAGCAGTGGAGACGGAAACATGCATCCGGTCGCTCAATCATGTCCAATGTTTGGGAACCGTGGACGCGATGCTGTACCTTGGTCCGATTTCTCAAGGCTAGGTCTACAAGAAGACTGCTTCCACCACTCCTCGTGGTCAACGGGTAGACTATGCTTGCAGATCGCAGTCAAGCTTTGTGAGCTCCAGCAACAACAACAAGCTTGGCAATGGCCTTTTCAAGATACACAAATTTCATCCTTTCATTTTTGGCGCTAGATTTCTCAGTATGATTATTTTCCTCACGGTCAAGAAACCAAGCTGAGAACTGGAAGGAACCCCTGTGCTACGCATGGAATGATGGCAACTCAGACGGAACACACCATTTTTACGAGACAAAGGGAAGGTTCAGAGTGATCAGATCAAATCTCGGAACGTTGGGAAGATAAAATGTTTGATTTTTCAAAGATCTGGCTATACCCAACAGAAATGTTAGTGATTCATTATTCACATATGTGTTTATGTCCGGCACAAGGGATAAAAAAATTGTATATCCACCTCATATTCTAAGATGTTTCAACTGGATTAGTAGGATTAATTATCAATTCCATGATCACTTTATCCAAAATGTTGAGTTAACTTTTCTATTTCAGTCATTTCATTCAACAGCACAATAATTATCTGATGCAATATTTTTGGGGATAAATATGTTTAATTTATTTTTCAACCAAAATATAATGCTTGCACAACATGTATTTTTCACGAGTAGTCCAGTTATCAGCTTAAAACATTACTTTTACAAAATTCACTCAAGAATGATTTTCGTCCACTATTCATTCTCACTGTCTTATCCAAGGGATGACTATAATCTTAATTCATACTGTGTTTAATGAGTAACTTATTATCTTGAAAATAAATTAGAAGCTTATGCGAAATTCTTCAAACTTGTGTGTAATCAGAAATTCAGAAATTTGTATATGATGAAAATACCGGCCACATCACACTGTTCATTTTAGTTACTTGGATAATTTTCGTAGCATCAAAATTTTAATTTTTTAACATGGGAAAATCAATGTGACTCTTTGCTAATATACCAGATATTTTCCCCTTTGCGCTCATGTAATCATTATCTAGATTATATGTTTAAATTTATCTTCGTGGAGCACAAGCGGACGTGCCGGAGTGGTTAACGGGATTGACTCGAAATCAATTGGGCTATGCCCGCGCAGGTTCGAATCCTGCCGTCCGCGTCTTTTGCAACGCTTTTAGCCCAAACTCAGATCGTGCCTCCTATTGTATTATATGACAAACTTCTTCCAATGGCCCACTACCTAAGCAGAATTTGCATAAGTGGCGTACACACTTACAATGGATTCAACATTAGACATGATTCGGCATTATGTCACGTTCAGCTATCCGTTGAAATTGTCTCACTTCTAGCTATCCATCTGGGTTAGATTACTTTGTAATTGTAAGAATGTCTCTAACTCAGATATCTTTGGAGATCTTCTAGAGGTTCTATAAACATGTCTCTTCACAAGAGGTACTCTCTCTTCCATTGTCTGATTCTGTGACACTTTGAGAAAACATTTTTTGTTATTCCTCGTTATAAACCTATTCTAGTAGGGACATGAATACAATATCATTTAGTATTTTAAGGGCGGTGACGATGGAGAAGGTCGTTCTTTGCATTGCTATTACAACATACGATAGAAATTATACCTTTAGAATTGTTCATTGTCCGCGGATTGGACTAGAGATCTACAGTCTATAATGATGAGTCAAAAGTGTCAAACATGATTTTTTTTATTCCTCAAACACGCTCATGGATCTTAGCTCTAAGATGCATCATATGTTTTTGACATGCACAATCTACTATATTTGCAACAATGCAAATTCTTTCTTGGCTTGATTGATTCATCATCCTCATATGTAAATGTGTCTAGACAACTTGTTATTTGTTGAAAGGTGTTTTAATATTTTATGACATGAATACATATAGTGATGTGGTATGTTTACTAGGACATGGAAGGATTTATCACATAGAGGAAAGAGCGTTGGTATGCTTTGTTGTTGACTAGATTCATACAAACCTAGCTTGGATGAAGAAATTGTGCAGATCTCACATGATGTGGGATGTTTAGAACATGGAAGTCTGTATTTTTCATATGGAGCAGACCATTTTGATGGGCTTTGTTGTTGACTACGATTGGAACAAACCTAACTTGGTTTTAGAATTTTATGCACATCTCACCTCATGTGGTATTTTAAGTACCACATTTTTAGTACCGCTAGGATGGTTTTTCAAATGGAGGAGATAGTATTGGTAAGATTTGTTGACTAGGATAAAGACAATCCTAGCTTGGTTATATGTATGTCTCACAAGAAATGATAGTAAGGTCATAACTACCTTGGGTAAAAAGTATAATGGAGGTTTCACATGGAAGAAGTGTTTATAGGGTAAGTGTAACCTATCTACATGAAATGGCTGGATGGGGAATAGAGGTACATGAGTATGTATAATTGTGACATTGCTATAACAAGTATGTTATTGAAAGTCAACTTTAATATGATTATTTATTTCAAGATGATTGTGAACATATTGATGAATCAATAAGGAGTCAATGTGCACATCAACTCTTGGATGAAGATGATGATACGTTTCCAAGAAATATTATCTTGGACTTGATCAAAAATTAAACCTGGCGAGGATGAAAATTATCAATATATGACTAGAAGCTAACCTGATTGAAATGAAATAGACATGGATAGAGTCAATATGATACTCAACACGAGCTACTACATCATTCATTTCTAATCCAACTATAATGTCTCTACTAAGATCAATTTCAAAACTGGATAATATATAACCAGGCCATGTACGTGCAGCCGTGGCAAGTTTGCCTCAAAATCTGGGCCAATAGAGTACACTTCGCCGACAGCTTCAAGCTTGCAGCTGGTGCTCAGCACGCACGCGATCACCAGAGGTTACATCGAGTTGGGTTGGGATGAGTGAATAGGAGCTAATGAAACAATCGACTTCATTCCTCAAAAGTCTTGAGGAATGAAGTCGATTGTTTCATTAGGGTCATGGCCCATGACCCTAATGACAAAGCGTCATGGGCCATGACGCTTTGTCACCGAGTCCACAAGCAGTGCGATAGCAGAGCATGGAATCACACGCTAGTGGTCAACGTAGACATCGACGACGACGGAGAGTCTAATCAATACAATCCTCCGGGAGCTGGCTTGGGGTCCTATGTTTTTCTCTTCCTTGTTCTAAATTGAGAAGACAATACGTTCGATGCGCGACCTGACTACTCTTGATGCTACCAGTACTGCGGCTCTTAGTCTCCATTCTACAAGCTGTCGAGCCAGGGGATGCATTGCCTGATGACCATCTCGTCATCTCCAAGCACCTTGTGACGAACTAGGGGCTCGGAGTTTTGAGCGAGCACCCAGCGCCCGCCGACGAGAATTAGCACCCGCGGTGAAACCATTACTAATTGACTTCTGGGTCATCCCTAGTTGTCTTGCAGCACCACCACCCATCTGTCTTCTGTTATGTAATGAACGACCACTGGTCGTTGAAGTTACCCCGGATGCATACCACATCCTCAGAATTGCAGTACTGAACTCTGTGCTTCATACAACGACATTCTCACAAATTTGTTCTCCACTCCAGGAGGACCGCAGAACATTACTCAACGCTGTCGTCCATTGGCCCTTCATCCTCACTAGAAACCTAGAATAGAGAGAATTCGAGCCGTCGCTACAAAAGTGATCGCTAGGGTGGTGGGAGTGAAACTGAAGTGACAGTTGTTGGAAACTATGATTTGCTGTGTTTGCAGCTTCGGCTGGGGTCCCTCTCTGTGCTAAGTTTGTTTGCACTTCCGGAGCTTTCACTCTTCTATCAACGATACAATCTAGTTACATCGCTAATGACATGCGGCGGACAGTATCCCGAAATTTCTCAAGCCTCATAGAGGTATGCTGTCCTGATTTTCATGGAGGTCCTGCGATAACTCTTTCCTAAAGCAGTTGCTTAGAGAATTACTTCCATTCGCAATTCAGCTTTGAGTTATAACATGGCTACAAACCAGAGGTTTCCACCACCATCATAATCATCAGTTGCTATGTCTTCTATATTATTATATGAATTCGAACTTTGAAGTGTTTTCCAACATAACAATCCAGTGTCAAATGTCCAATGTAAAAGCTTTTCTCAGATCCTATAAAACTTTATTTGAAATGTATGCCATCGAGATATTAATCCTGGTGTTAATGATACATGCATGTGACGGTCTATTTGATAATCAAAAAGTGTGGTAAGCTCTGAATACAATATGTTCATAAAGTTCATACCTAGCATATGTTTCTACACTCTACTGAGGTTTCAGAGGCACTGAAAGGTACTCATTATGTAAATTATTGAAAGGAAACTAATTGACTTTTATACTGGAATGAAAAATTAGAAAGGTGATGTGATCTACCCTGGGTACCTGGAAATATTGATATTTCCAAGTAGTGAAAGTTTCCAAGCATTTATGTAATTTGTGCGAACATATGTAATTCGCCAAAATTACTGGCGAATTTTAATTTAAGGCTGGTTTTATACAAAGTTTTTGCACAAAGTTCACATGAAAACCAATAATGACAC